ATGACCTTGGCAAGTTGGATTAAAGAGAATCCCAGGCATTTTATACATATATTAGGACCAAGAGAATAGTTCGGAAAGGATAGGTCCACTCAAGGATAAAGGAGGTAATTTATGCACGGAGCCAGAGGAAGTGGGTGAGGGCCTGAATGAGTAATTTGCATTAGAATTCACCAAGGAGAAGAATATGGATGATGGTAAGATTAGGGATTATGTTGATATAAAGAAGGAGGAGTACTGGGTGTCCTGAGAAACTTTGTTAGTTAATATTGGGATCTCTCCCAGGATACTGAGGGAAGCAAGGGAGAAGATTGCTGGGGCCTAGACAGAGATCTTTGTATCCCCTTTAGCACAGGCAGTATTCTAGAAGGCTGGAGAGTAGCCAGAGTTGTTTCTTTGTTTAAGAAAGACATCAGGGAAAATCCAGAAAATTATAAACTGGTGAGTTTACATCAGTGGTGGAGAAATTATGGGAGAAGATTTTAGGGGTAGGATTTATTTACATTTAGACAAGAATGTGCTTATTAGTAATAGCCAGCATGGCTTTGTGAGAGGGGAGGCCTTGGCTCACAAATTTGATTGAGTTTTTTGAGGAAGTGATGAAGATGTTTGATGAGGGTAGGGCAGTAAATGTTGTCTACATAGACTTTTTAAAGCATTTAATAAGGCCCCTCATGGTAGGCTGATCGAGAAGATTACGTCACATGGGATCCACAGTGAGTTGCTAAATTGGATACAAAATTGCCTTGGTCATAAAGTAGTTGAGAAAGTGATCTTACTGAAACTTAGAATGTTCTTACAGGGTAGGAGAAGATGAGATCTTTCCACTGGCTGGTGAGTTAGGCCATTTAAAATTGAGATGACATGAATATCCTCCCTCAGAGGGTTGTGAATCACTGGATTTCTCAACACCTGAGGACTGTGGAAAGTCAGTCATTGACAGAAATTGACAGTCATTGACACCTCAAGACAGAACTTGATGGATTTCTGGAGCCATCAAGATATTAAGGGATATAAAAATATGATACAGTACTACTACTTTATGATAGTGGTATTGAGTTGGATAATCAGCCATGATTTAATTGGATGTCAGAACAAGCTGGATACATTGAATGGCCATGCCTGTTTGTATGTTCCTACATAATTGGATGATCCTCACTTGCCTTAATTGATTCTTCCTTGGGTGACCTTGTTAGACTTGCCTGCTCTCAAACTCTTGGGGATGTTGTTGATACTTCTTTTGCCTGGATAATATTCTGCCAATATTGTCTTTGACTCCTCATTCAAATTTTTTTCCTTCTTTGTTCTTATGTGAGCATTGGTGGCAAGGTCATCATTTGTTGCATATCCTGAATTACGCTTTAGAAGGAAGCAATGAGATAATTTTGTTTTAGATCAGCAGTCCATTTGACATCAATACACACCCTTCCAGGATTTTAACCAAGGTATTGCAACATAGTTCCATGTCAGGCTGGTGCGCGGCTTAGTGGGAAATCTGCAGATAGTGGTATTCCTGTGCATGTATTATGCTTGTTTCCTAGGTCATGGAGATCATGGGTTTGAAACGTAATAGTGATGTAAGTTTGAAGAGTTATTGCACTTGTAGATGGTATAAATTTTGTGGAGGGAGTGAATGTTTAAGGTGGTGGATAGGTTAGCAACTTTGCTTTGTCCTTGATAGTTTCTAGCATCTTGAGTTTTTTTGGAATCATAATCCTCAAGGAAGGTGGAAGGTTTATTTTATAGAACCTGCTCCTAATCACCCAAGGGACAATATAGAATCCCTACAGGCCATTCAGCCCAACAGGTCCACACCGACTCTCTGAAGAGCATCCCACCCAGACTCACCCTCCTCCCCATATCCCTGCAGTTCCCCTGGCTAATCCACCTAGCCTACACATCTGTGGACACTATGGGCAATTTAGCTTGGCCGATCCACCTAACCTGCACATCTTTGGACTGTAGGAGGAAACTGGAGCACCCCGAGGAAACCCACACAGACACGGGGAAAAGAGCAAACACCACGCAGACAATCGCTGGCCGCTGGAATTGAACCAGGGTCCCTGGTGCTTTGCTAACCACTGAGCCACTGTGCCACCTTATGAATATACTTGATGTCTGCAAGAAAGAAAGTTAAGTTTTAAATACCCTAATATTCAGGAGATGCTGGAATCATTCAGCAGGTTCGACATCAGCTATTGGTGAGGTGCTTTTGTTGTTTTAGACCAGTAACAGAGGACAGCTGTTGACTATCCATAAGGCCTGTGGCGGATTGATGATGCATCTGACTACAGAGCAGGAGCTAGTAGATTCCACTTCTACTTGGCTCAAGTACAATTTGCAGTTTTTGGAGCAATACAGTGGCTCGGTGGTTAGCACTGCTGCCTCACAGCACCAGGGACCTGGGTTTCATTCCAGCCTCGGGTGACTGTGTGGAGTTTGCACATTCTCCCCATATCTGCGTGGGTTTCCCCTCACAGTCCAACGATGTTCAGGTTAAAACAGAAACAAAAACAAAGTTGCTGGAAAAGCTCAGCAGGTCTGGCAGCATCTGTGAAGGAGAAAACAGAGTTAACGTTTTGGGTCCGGTGACCCTTCCTCAGAACTGATAGTGGCTGGGAAAACGTCAGTTTATATGCAGAAAATAAGGAGGTGCGTGGGGTAGGGAGTAAACGACAGATTGGAGCCTGAAGAGAGAGAAAGACAGTTGGACAGACAAAGGAGTTGCTAACGATCAGGCTGGGAGGGTGAATATTTGTTAATGGGGACTATTAGTGACTAACAACAGGGGGTGCGTAATGGCAGGCTATGTGGGGTGGGGTGCTGGGACATGGGAGAGTTTAGGCCCTAAAATTATTGAACTCAGTACTGAGTCCAGAGGGCTGTAGGGTCCCCAAGTGGAAAATGAGGTGTTGTTCCTCAAGTTAATACAATGCTTTCTTGGAAGATGCAATTGATTCCTTTTATTTTAGCGGTCTGGATTTTCTGTTTTATGGTAGTATTCCATCCAAATGGAGGCATGATAATGTGAGCAAATTAGAAGGCCTTCCTTTACTGAGATATTCGCTTAGTTCTATGCTTGGCTGAACCCTGAACCCTCTATGCAGTTGTTGCCCACTCATCTGTTATGCTCACTCATACCCTCTGTGGCCTTTCATATCTCCCAACGACCCCTTGTCCCTCATACTCCTCCATTTCCCCCAAACCCTGGCATATAACCCATGCTGAGTCAGATATCCCCATCCGTCATATGCCACTATGCCAATTACCCAGTAATCACTATGGACAAGATGCATACACCTTGCCTTAGTAACACTGAGAAATTATTTGAGTTGCTCATGAAACTACTGGAATAAAGAAATAGTTATTTAATATTCACATACGAATATCCAGACTTTTTGACAGCTTTATCAACAACCACTGCTGAACTAAATTTATTTTTGAGGTATGTAGTTAAGACAAGCATTCATAATGAAATTCAGTTTCACAACTGTTTCAACAATGTCTCTACTCCTGAATACATTAAATACATCACGTTTTATTAAACAGTTATATGACCTGTCAATCAGAGAACCTAACATCTGTTATATATCTTTAAAGGCTGAACAACTGGCTGAAGCACCAATCAGTGAATAAATCAAAACATAAAGTGCAAGTGTAACTGCAATTCAGCTAGTTTGGAATCTCAGTTTAATTTAGTTGGATAAACCAATCTAATGCCTCGGAAGAGCTTTCCTCCTTCACGATGTGATAGATTTAATGTTAATATTTTGTTTTTAAACAAAGCCCCAATCATTTATCAATACATTAGAAATATAGACATCTGCATTCTATTATGAAATTTGAGGTTAGCAACACCTTTTGAACTTGAGGTGTCAAAAGGTTCCTACCTGCAGTATAGGCTTTCTCCATTGTTCACTACACCCCTGAACGGCCACGAGTCTTATTCCTCTCAGAAATTATGAAATTAGTCACGCACCATGAAAGTTACAGGAAATCTGAAATCAATATAGGCACCAAAGTTGGGATTCCAGGTTATTTAAAAATAATACACAAGGGAAAGGGGGCAGGAATTCTAGAATTCTCTCCTCGCACAGGAATGGTAAAACCCAGCCAGTACTGGGTTTGACACAGGTGTTAATGGCAATCGTTCTCTTCTCAAGAAAAGGTCTAGTTGTTACTTTAGATTAAAACAGGGCTAACCTGGGCTGTCTGACTTTATGTGGATGCTCGTCAACAACTTCACCGGCCACTGGGCTTTCTTTCCTTCGATAGACCTTTTGTTTATTTTCATAGTAAAAGAAAACCTTTTTTGCTGTGTGTTCATTTTGATCATTTAAATACTATAAATCCTGTACCAACTTGTTTACATATGCCTTGAACTCATGAGTTTCTAACCACTGGTGCTGCTGTGGCCTATGATTCATCATAACTATTTAAATTATGTGACTTTGCAGCAACAGAGATGGAAGTCCACTTCATATTTGGCAGAAATAAATTAATAGCTTGCTACCTTCAGGATGGACTTTGCTTTAGTGAGAAACCTCAATAATTGTACAGGTAGTTCTGCTATAACATGTGTTTCGTTCATGCGAATTGGCTGTAACGCAATTGATGAGTAGTGGACACTGGATAACATGAACTTTCTGCTGTACAGCTATAGTGATTTTCTATAGTGATTTCCCTATAATGCGATTATCTATGGCAATTTTCTATAGTGCAATTTTCTATAGTGCAAGGTCATGCAAGAATGCAACTATCGTGTTATAGGAGAACTACCTGTATTTTGAAATCCACTACCATTCCAGATTTTGACCTAATTAAAGAACATTAGTAAAATTTTAGATGCTTTGATTCAAAGAATTCCAATATTAATTTCTTCTGTGTCAAAAGAAGCACCTTAAAATGAGGAATGTCACATCAGGTAATGTACTTCACTGTTTTAGCAGTTTTAGAAGTAGCTGTGTTTGACGAATAATACTAATCCATATATCTATTTGCAGGAAGCATCTTTTTGTGTCATGGATTGCAGTGATGGAGTACTTTCTGGTGCTGCGACTTTGCTGGAAAATATTTTCTTACCAGCCATTTCTGCATCTGGAAACTGGGGTGCACTTAACCAGTACGTACATAGGGAGAGAGACAAGAAAGCTTTTAAAGATATTATCCGCAGATACATCACTTTCTTAAATGGTAAGATGTTTGAACAACTAAGATGGTCTATGAATTGCAGCTTAATGTACTTACTCAATGGATCATTGGTCATGTAATAGCATTTAATCAGCAAAGTAGATATTATCCTCTGGTCCTTGTGGCTGAAAAGTCAACATAATACAACTATAGACTAAAAAGAGGAAGATTAAATTACATAGGTCTGAGATTCAAAGGCATCCGGGTGACCTAGTGCATAAATTGAGTAAGGCTAGGATGCAGATATTAGGAAGTAATTAGAAAAGCTGATGGAAGAGATGACCTTATAGAAGTTGATGAAATCATGAGTGACATAGATAAGGTGAATAGGAAAGTCCTTTTCCCAAGGGTAGGGGAGTTCAATTTAGAGGGCTTAATCTTATAGTGAGAGGAAAAAGATTTGAAAGGGACCTGAGAGGTACCTTTTTCACACACAGGGTAGTTTGTTTGTGGAGTGAACTGCCAAAGGACGTGGTAGATGCAGGTATAGTTACAGCATTTAAAAGACATTTGTACAGGTATATGAATAGGAAAGATTTAGCAGGATATGGGCGAAACGCAGGCAAATGGGATTAGTTTAGTTTGGGAAACCTGATCAATGTGGACGAGTTGGACTGAGGTGTCCATTTCTGTGCTGTATCATTATATGACTCTATGACTATATGAGAGGAATTGAATGCAACAATGAGGAATTATACTTTAGTTATACAGGGCATTCGTTACCACATCTTGAATACTGTGAATAGCATTGGTCTCCTTATTTAAGGCAGGATGTAAATGTGTTGGAATTAGTTTAGAGAATGTTTGCCAAACTATTACCTAGTATGGTGGGACAGGGCTAGGAATGTTTCCACTGGAATTTAGAAGAGTAAAAGGTGAGTTCACTTAAACATTAAAGATCCTGGGATCTTGACAGATTGAACATGGAAAGGGTATTTGATTTAAAAATTTCTTTTTTTGATTTTAATTTCACATGTATTTTACAGTAAGAATACAATAAAATAGTGAAAAGCTTTCATTTGTCACCATGGTTCCACACAATTTTTAATAATTTAAGAATAAGGAAAAAAAGGAAGTATAGCTTGAAGAGAATCCGTCAATTCTGAGCTAGCTCATCACCATCAGCGATGTCAGCGCCATCAGCAACAAGGATATTTATTCTTGTCAGAGAGTCTAGATCTAGGGATCACTATTTAAAAATAAGGGTCACTAATGTAAGACAGGGATGAGGAAAAATAAATCCTCTCAGAGGGTCATGTGCCTTTGGAACTCCTCAACAGGCAGTTGAAGTTGAATCAGAGATAGTAGGAACTGCAGATGCTGGCTTGGCCTGCTCTGCACCTTGTTGTCTCAGTTGAAGTTGAATCTTTGGATATATTTAAAACAACAGGTGAATAGATTCTCAGTAAACAAGGGGTTGAAAGGTTATTGGGTAGGTTGGACTGTGTAATTGAGCTTTCAATCAGATCAGGTATGATCTCCATGGCAGATGAGGCTTGAAGGACTAGATGCTCTACTTCTGCTCTTAACTCATGCGTTTGCATGTTTGTATGTTTGTGTGTTATGGTCTGTCTCCATGAATACTTTCAGCTTAAAGGTTTAAGGTTGAAAATCTCTCTGATTTTTGTGTGACCGAGAGATCTTTCTTCTCCAAAATTGTGTACTATGTCCTGGAGGTATAATGTACCAGAATTTGACAGCTATCTGGTTGCTCTTGATAGAATACTGCAATTAAAGTAAGATTAACCATAACTATGATAGTTGGAAATAATGGATTGTAGTGGCTCAGGACATCTGTGAATGTCAATATATCCTTGACTTTCTTGGAAAGCCTGTTCTCGATGTGGGTTTTGGTGCCATGTTTGTAATTTCTGGAGGAGTTGCCTCAAGTTTTCAGTTATACTTGCCAAGTGAGGCCAGAACTTTGCCGACTGGTTTAACGTGCATAAAAATCTTTGAGATCATAAACATATTTTAATTGGGGAGTTTTTTAACATCATTCATTTTCCGTGAGTTTAACATTCCGGTATCATATTCTTGGTGACCATGTTTCCCAAGTAGCGATTAAGTTCCTCGGAAAATTTATACTTGTTGATGAAGTAAGCCTTCAGTTTATAAAGATCATTATTAATTATCTATAGATTCCCCTAAATACTGAAACCTTCTATTAACTCTTGCTGTTGCAATAATGTTTTGTTGGCAGGTTAAATGAGTTGTCAAAAAATTGTAAAACTTCCTCAGAAGTATTTGTGCAGCTTTTTATGTTTTGATGAGCTATGACTTCACCAGATGTAGGTTCTAGCTAATACAATAGTGAGTGGACATGTTTAGCTTGTAATTTAGTGTCTGACTCAGGAGCAATTTTGTACCTTAAGAACTATTTTCTCCAAGTTACCCAATCCTATGCTTTACTTGGCCCATCACTGATATTAAATATTCCAAGCAGTATTATTTTTCCTGCCATTTCTTCCTAATGTTTTTTTCTTCTTATTTTAATGATTTTTCATTCTGTAGAGTTTCCATACTGTTTATATTTTTAACTTTAAAATCTTATCTTTAATCTTGCAGCATCGGCTGCTTTAATCTCTTTCCCGAGTAGATTCTTGCTCTTTCACTTTAGCAGTGCTATTTATTTTCTTATCTTGAAAGCTTTTCACCTTTGGAGAATAGCAATGCTGTATCTCTTTGCTGTTTATTAGGGGCACTCCATGAGTTTTATGGTGAAATTGGAGGATTCCTTGCTTCTGTACGCAAAAATGGAGTTCTCTTGCATTGTTGCAAGTAAAATGACCATAAGACCAAAAGACAGAGGAGCAGAAGTTAGGCCATTTGGCCCATTGATAATACTCCACCATTCAATCATGGCTGATACGTTTCTCAACCCCATTCTCCTGCACTCCTTTGATCCCCTTAATAATCAACAACCCATCTTTCTCTGTCTTAAGTATGCTAAATGATCTAGCCTCCACAGCCTTCTGTGGCAATGAATTCCATAGATTCACCACTCTTTAGCAGAAGAAGTTTCCCTTCACCTCCGTTCTGAAGGGTCTTTCTTTTACTCTAAGGCTGTGCCCTTGGGTGCTAATGTTTCCTGCTAATGGAAACATCTTCCCAATGTCCATTCTATCCAGGCTGTTCAGTATTCTGTCAGTTTCAGTTAGGTTCCCCCCTCATACTTCAAAACTCCTTTGAGTTTAGACCCAGTGTCCTCAAACATTCCTCATATGTTAAACCTTTCATTCCTGGAACCATTCTTGTGAACCTCCTCTGAACCTGCTCCAGGACCAGCACATCTTTCCTGAGATATGGGGCCCAAAATTGCTCTCAATATTCCATATGTGGTCTGACCAGAGCCTTATAAAGCCGCAGAAGTATATCCCTGCTTTTATATTCTAGTCCTCTTGAAATAAATGCCAATGTTGCATTTGCCTTACTAACTACTGACTCAACCTTCAAATTAACCTTAAGAGAATTCTGGACTAGAACGCCAAAGTCCTTTTGCACTTCAGATTTCTGAATTTTCTTCCTATTTAGAAAATAGTCTATGCCGATGTTCTTCCTACCAAAGTGCATGACCTCAAACTTTCCCAGGTCGTATTCCATCTGCCACTTCTTTGCCCATTCTCCTAACCTGTCTAAATTCTTCTGCAGTCTCCCTGCCTCTTCAATACTACCTATCCCTCCAGCTATCTTTCTATCATCTACAAACTTAGCCCTCAGTTCCTTCATCTAGATCATTAATGTATAAAGTGAAAAGTTGTGATCCCAACATTGACCCTTGCGGAACTCCACTAGTCACTGGCTGTCATCCTGAGAGGGACCCTTTTATCGCCACTTTCTGCTTTCTGCCAGACAGCCAGTCTTCTATCCATGCTAGTACCTTGCCTCTTAACACCATGGGTTCTTATCTTACTCAGCAGCCTCCTGTATGGCACCTTGCAAAGGCCTTCTGGAAGTCCAAGTAGATAGCATCTGTTGGCTCTCCTTGGTCTAACCTACTCATTACCTCTTCATAGAATTCTAACAGATTTGTCAGGCATGACCTCCCCTTGATGAAACCATGCTGACTTCACCCTATTTAACCACGTACTTCCAAGTATTCAAAAATCTCATCCTTCACAATGGACTCCAAAATCTTATCAAAGACCGAGATCAGGCTAATCGGCCTATAATTTCTCATCTTTTACCATACTCCCTTTTTAAACAGGGAGGTTACATTATGGATTTCCAGTCATCTGGGACCCTCCCTGACTCCAGTGATTCCTGAAAGATCACCACTAATACCTTCACTATCTCTTCAGCTATCTCCCTCGGAACTCTGAGGTGTAATCCATCTGGTCCAGGTGATTTGTCCACCTTCAGACCTTTCAGTTTTTCTTGCACCTTCTTCTTGGTGATGGCCACCATACTCACCTCTGCCCCCCAACTCTCTTGAATTTTTGGGATGTTACTCATGTCTTCGACAGTGAAGACTGACGCAAAGTACTTGTTCAGTTCCTTCACCATTTCTTTGTTCCCCATTTCTACTTCTCCAGCGTCATTTCTAGCAGTCCAATTTCCACTTCTGCCTCTCTCTTACCTTTTATATATCTAAAGAGACTTGTGCGATCTTCTTTTATATTCCTGGTTAGCTTACCCTCATATTTAATCTTCTTCCTCCTTATTTCTTTTTTAGTTGTCCTCTGTCGGTCTTTGTAGGCTTCCCATTCCTCTGGCTTCTCACTGCCTTTTGCTGCATTATATGCTTTCTCTTTTGCTTTCATGCTGACCCTGACTTCCCTTGTTAGCCATGGTTGCCTCATCCTCCCTTGAGTAAGGTTCTTTTTCCTAGGGATGAATGTTTTCTGTGTCTCCTGAATTAATTCCAGAAACTCCTGACATTGGTTTTCCACTGTCTTTCCTGCTAACCTCTTCTCCTAGTCAGTTCTGACCAGCT